GAAGGCTGAGTCAACCTTGAGCCGGTGAGATTAGAACCGCTGAACTGCAGATAACAGTCAGCTGAAGTGGCCTGCACCCTAACCACTGTGCCACCATCTTGATTCTATCCCTCTGTTTATGCAGCCTAGAACTGCGTTGGCTTTTTTGGCAACTGTTGCACATGGCTGGCTCATATTTAAATGGTTGTCCACTAGGACTTCAAGATCCCTCTCACAGTTACTACTATTGTGAGAGGGATCTTGAAATCCTAGTGGACAACCATTTAAATATGAGCCAGGAATATTTCTTTGAAATGGCGGCTCAGAAACAATAAATTCATCTCTAAAAGAAATTTGCCTGCCTGGATTGGAGGGTTGTCCCAAAGGTGCTTTTTCCAAGGGCAACTGGACTTTGTGTTTGGACTGGAGGGTTCGAGTACTTGTCAGATCTTTTCTCTTCCCGTTTCAGGTTCATCACTGTCTACAGTGGCCCCTGCCACACCTATAAGGTGCAGCGACTTAGTGAATCTACAACATACTATTTTAAAATCCAGGCATGCAATGATGCCGGGGAAGGGGACTTTTCCGAAGTTTACGCATTTGCCACAACCAAATCGCCACCGCCTGCCATGAAAGGTGAGGGGCATTGAGCATATATTAATGCCATTCATAAATGGGACAGGATTCTACCCCTTAAAAGGAGAGGCTCTTCAAGGCATAACTGTTTGCTTCTGCTTTGATGAGTTAATACTTCACGCTGTGTGTGGGTTTGTGTTTGATGACCAGTTTAGTTTTGAAAGAAATTAGACTGGTTTAGTTAAAGGCAGTTTCTCCTCCTGTCACTTCGGTTTAGAAAAAATTTAGATGGCCCTCGGATAAAGTGCACAAAATGAAGTGAAATGCAGAATGTATCAGTCTACCCAAACCTTATCCTTAAATATCCAAAATCATATATTAGAAAAATCCTTTGTCAAGATTCCAAATAGCATCCAAAGTGTTGCTCAAAGTTCCAATTTATTAAGAGAGCCATTTTTGGCACATCTGTGAAAACCCAAATTTGAAAGTTCCCCAGTTTTCCCCACCTAGTTGAAAGTTCAAGATTTTGCCCTCACACCCACAAGTCCATCACATGGTTCAATCTNCCAGGCTGATATCTTCCAAACGCCACTCTGTAGCAGACAATACTTGACAAGAAGTCAGGAAGAGACCTTCACCCTAATGGGTTGAACTAATTGCCTCCTGGAAACTCCCCTCCCCCTTTGCTCCTCTTTATTCCCTATGGGAGGGGCCATTCACCATCCACCTGTGCCTTTACTCCCGAGTCGGCCCTTGTTCCTTTACTGTCCCCTTCTCCTGGCGGCTCTGTGCATGTGCACACTGGGAACAGGATCCAGCTGTTTGCCTGCCTCATTGATGTCTGACTCTGAAGGCAGCTGATAACTGGCATAGAGCTCTGGCACCCTCTCTGCCCCCGACCCAGAATCCTCATCAGAGCCTTCCCCAGACTCCAGGACTGGCCCATGTTCCTCCCCAACCTCCTCACTGTCTGAGTGTGCCACTAGCTCTGCTGGCAAACCACAACACTTTTATTAAATTTGTATGCTGCCCATCTCACTGTCGAATGACTCTGGGTGGCATACAATATCTTCACTGGTAATCCCCAATTTGCAAGAGTTTGTTTAGTGGCCGTTCAAAGTAACTTGTGACCAGTTTTCACTCTTGTCCCCCGTTGCTGTATCTCCATGGTCACACGGTCAAAAACCAGATGCTTGGCAACTGACTCCCGTTTATGATGGTGGCAGTGTCCCGGGGCCATGTGGTCACCACCTGTTGTGACCTCCTGACACGCAAAGGCAACACAGTTCCCTTCACAACCGTGTTACTAACTTAAAGCTTCAGTGATTCATTTCACTGCTTTGCAAAATAGGTTGCAAAAGCAAATATCCCTTAACTGTTTCGCTTAGCAGCAGGAGTGTTGGGCTTAATTGTGGTCATACGTCAAGGATTGCCTTTAAATCAGAGCAAAGATTCTGTGGAGGCCCTCCAGCGTCCAGCGGAGCTGGCAAAAGATTCGGACAGTGAGGAGGTTGGGGAGGAAGATGGGCCAGTCCTGGAGTCTGCGAAAGGCTCTGATGAGGGCTCTGTGTCAGAGGCAGAGAGGGGGCCAGGGCCGTATGCCAGTTATCAGCTGTCTTCAGAGGCAGACATCAGTGGGGCAGAAGAACAGCTGGAGCCTGTTCCCAGTGTGTGCATGCGCAGAGTTGCCAGACAAAGGGAACAGCTAAAGAATAGGGGTCGGTTTGGGAGTAAGGCCACAGGTGGATGATGAATGGCCCCTCCCAGAGGAAATAAAGATGAGCAAAAGGGGATTTTGCAGGAGACAATTAGTTCGCTTAATTGGTTCATGACTCAATAACTCCTTGCCAAGGACAGCTTTGCGTTTTACAGAAATCGGCCTGGCAGCTCTCCAAGCCAAATAAGGTCTGTGACTGTAAATTCACCTTTGAAAGACTTTGCTGGATGTGAACCGAGAGGAATTCACAGTAACTTAATAAAAAGGTTTTGTTGGGACAAGGAGTTGGCTTCCTGCTCTTGGGAAGCCTCGGTTAGAACAGATTCATTCATTTAGTCCCTCAATCGCTACAGCCTTCCTCTCATACCAGGGACTCTGGGTGGGGATCTTCTGCAAACGTCAACTTTTACCTCTGTTTTACTCCCTGGCAGAATCCGAATTCAGGCCTTCAACAGTCTTGGAACTGGTCCTTTCAGTCCATCCATCAAAGCGAAAACCAAGCCTTTACCTCCGGATCCTCCGCACCTGGAATGCGTGGTCTTCAGTTACCAGAGCCTTAAGCTGAAGTGGGGGGAAGGTCCTAGCAGGGCTTTAATTGCCAACCCCACCCAGTTCAATTTACAAATGGAAGACAGGCTGGGCAGGTGAGATCAAACTGGGGAATGTGTTGTCTTCCCCTTTGTGTC